TATATATATATAATTTTTTGGGATAGATCATGACTCATATTTTCATGATATTCACCCAATAATGACAAAGCAGAAATCATTTGAAGCATTTCTGTTCTTGTATTTTCTCCTACACTGAGAAATATGGGTTTAGTTTATTAGGTTACGGTTCTATTAGGTTAAAGGGACTGTCTGCAATCATATCACACTGAATCTGAATGAGGCATTTGAAGTTGCTGTAGTCTCGCTGTCTTTTGCTGTAGACTATCTTTCTTGTTCGTCAGAGCTGGCCTTATGCCCCGCCTCCTCAGTGGGCGTGTCCAGTACTGGATTAACAAATCCCTCAAAGTCCTCGTCGGCATGGTCACCGCTGTCCTCGGGATGTGCACTTACAAAGTCGTTCTCCCACTCCAAAGCGTTGGAGTCCTCAGAGGTGGGGCCACTGTCCAGCTGTTTCCCGCCGGGACGAAGTGCCGCCCGTAAAATGTCCTCCTCTGTTTTGGAACGCTCCCATGCAGGTCCCATCCGGTTCATTCCTGTATAATGCCACATATCAATTCATTGAATTATGAATTATGTTAACTGCATTTGCTCTGTTAATTCACTACTGGTCAAAAGTTTAAATAAATTGAACAATTATGAATTACATATTAGAATGATTTCTGAAGGGGCATGTGACACTGGAGTGATGATGCTAAAATTCAGCTTTGCATCACAGGAATAAATTACACTTTAAAATATATTACAATAGAAAATAGTTATTTTAAATTGTAATAATATTTTAGAATATTATTGTTTTATATAATAAAACAGTGATAAAACTGCTTTACAAAAACTACAAAGTTTTTCTGTACAAAAATGTCTGAGAACTTCTGAAATCTTCACAATAATGTCTCATTTGTAATATTTAATACAGTAGATAACATGAACTAACAATGAGCAATATATTTTTACAAAATTTATTCATGTTTGTTAAGATTTGTTGAGGTAAAATTTTCCTTGTTTGTTCACATTGCATTGATGTTATAAGACACAAATGCTGATTTTGTAAGTTTATTAATAAAGCATGAACCTGTTTTTTTTAGCATCACTGATATACTATTATAGATTGTGTTCATATTTTGAATTATATATTATTTTTAGATATTGTTTTCATTTTAGTTATTAAGTTGTATTAATTTGGTTGTATTCTTGTCATTTTTATGATTTGTCTTTAAACATATATATATATATATATATATATATATAGTTTTTATTAATTGTTATTTATTAGTTTGTTTATTTAGTTTTAGTTATTTTAGTACTTCATGTTAAAATAAACAAAAATTAGAAATTAATGTTTAATTTAATCCAAGTAACAATGTTTGTTTTATTCCAAGTAATAAAAACATTTTTTTCTATGATTTTACGTTTAATTTTAGTTAACTATAATAACCCTGGCATGAACGAAGATTAATAAATGCTGCAGAAGTGCTGTTCATTGTTAGTTCATGTTAACTAATATAGTTAACCAATCTTAAATGAAAACATAATGCAAAGTGTTACTGAAATGCTGAAAACAAATGTCTTGCCAGACCTGACTTGGATGTGGCATTTAAAGGCCAACTCTAACTGGCATGTTGTGACTTGACTCCAGCATAATTTGTATAATAAATGATTACTGAATGCAGGAAGCAAGTGTTCTGGAGGTTCAGTGAATTCACTCACCCTCCTCATCCTCCCACTCCAGGTCCAGTGAGGTGGCGTCAGTCTTACTGGTGAAGTCCCAGCTGCTCTCTGTGTTTGGGGTCACTACATTCGTCTCAGAGCTGAGTCCTTAACATACAGAAAGAAAAAAAGAAAAGATTTTAGCATTTAGAGATTAATATGGTTTCATTATAAACATTTAATCATAATAGTATTCTGTAGTATTGTAATTGAAATGTGTTAATGGGAACTCACGGTTACTGCGAAAGGCTTCAGATTGAGCCTTCACACTCTGCAGGTACACCTCGAACTCTGCATCTGACACTTTGCTGCAGAAACACACACACAGTTACATCAGCCGCTGCTGTTATCACCATAGCTGCATTTAGAGAGATTGTGGACAGCCTTGTGAACCTCTTACTACAGAAAACTGTAGAACCACTAGTACACATTAACACTTTTTTTGTGACCCCTTCAACATAAAATGTGCACGATTCTCTGGTGTTGGTTAATGGTAACATGACATGAAGATAACTTAGTATTTCATCTTTTTTTCAGTAAGGGTTTTGATTGTTATTTGATTTTTTTATTTATTTTGTATTTAACATCTTATCAGCTTTTCATAAACTCACAACCTTTCCTGCAGATCCCTCACGAACCCCAGTTTGGGAAACCCTACTTTAATGAAACTAGTAAAAAATACGTTTTGAACTATGCAATACAAAATGATACATAAAAAAATATATATACAGTATGCAAGTGCTGCATTATTAATCGAAGTAGAACTGAAGTCACGATACGGCTTAGTGTGATTATCAAATCACAAAGACTGCGATTTAATAAAAAAAGCACTACGTGTTTGTAATGTAAAAGTTAAATTATTATTATTTTATTATTTGTCTAAATACAGTGAAATATTACAAGAGTAGTTTTTTTATTTAGTCATTTTTATATTAAATAGTAGTAGTAGTAGTAATAATAATATGAATAATAATAATAACTACTATAATTACTAATTACTATTATTTCATAGCCATATTGATATATAATCACAGACAATTGGCACAAAAAATTGTGCAGCCCTACAAACAAGCATAGCAAAACTGGATTTATTATTAGTTTTTTTTTAAAGACAACCACAATTTTTGTCAGAAAAATCACAAGTTCATAATATACTACTATTGAAAAGGTGCTATAATAAATATAACAAATATAATAAGAATGTTAATATATACTATTTAACTATACTGCTTGGACACCTTAAGAACTCAGGTCACACACTAAACCACCTTCAACCAACTGGAAAAAATGAATAGAAAAATAGCTAAAATAAAAGGATGTTATTTCTGAAGTAAAACTACATGTGTTTGCACATGACACCTTGATATTTTGCTTCTAATCCAATGGCACACACACATTTTTAAGTGTGACTTAAGTGTTCAAAAACTTTTTGGGGTCAGTGATTATTGTTTACATTAATTTCAGAGCAAAATGAACTTACGTTTTGTGCCGAGGGTCATTGCTCTCTGGGTCTGATCTGGGTTTGGTCCTCTGCGGCTGCTGCTGCTTCCCCTGAAAAAACAACATTTCAAGAATGACGACTGACTCACTTCCACTAATATTTCACCAAGTGCTATGGTATCCCTCTGATTTATATTGATATATAATCACAGACAATTGGCACAAAAAATTGTGCAGCCCTACAAACAAGCATAGCAAAACTGGATTTATTATTAGTTTTTTTTTAAAGACAACCACAATTTTTGTCAGAAAAATCACAAGTTCATAATATACTACTATTGAAAAGGTGCTATAATAAATATAACAAATATAATAAGAATGTTAATATATACTATTTAACTATACTGCTTGGACACCTTAAGAACTCAGGTCACACACTAAACCACCTTCAACCAACTGGAAAAAATGAATAGAAAAATAGCTAAAATAAAAGGATGTTATTTCTGAAGTAAAACTACATGTGTTTGCACATGACACCTTGATATTTTGCTTCTAATCCAATGGCACACACACATTTTTAAGTGTGACTTAAGTGTTCAAAAACTTTTTGGGGTCAGTGATTATTGTTTACATTAATTTCAGAGCAAAATGAACTTACGTTTTGTGCCGAGGGTCATTGCTCTCTGGGTCTGATCTGGGTTTGGTCCTCTGCGGCTGCTGCTGCTTCCCCTGAAAAAACAACATTTCAAGAATGACGACTGACTCACTTCCACTAATATTTCACCAAGTGCTATGGTATCCCTCTGATTTAAAAAAAAAAAAAAAAACCTTTCATTGCTACAATTATTTCTAACTGTTTGTGCCAAAGTTGAATGCCCTACTGGGAAACAGACACCACATGTAATATTAGCAGATGGTCAAACACACAGATCATGGTAGAAAGCAAAATAATAGGAAATAAAAATGAACACAGGACATGAGGGCAAATTAAGAAGAAAAATTGTTTGTAGTATTGTTGCCGCCGCCATGTCGTGGAGACGCTGTGTGTTTCGTTGTGAAAGCGAAACTACTTTGTTTGGCCTTCCAAAAGAGGACACGACTAGAAATCAGTGGTTAAGTTGTATTTACAACACTGTTCCAGAACAGTTCAACCCAAATATTCAGATGTGAGCAACACGGAGGACGAGGACTGTTTCCTGGGAGAGTAGCCTACAATTCCGGTGTTCTGACAAATAATGCTGACTCACAGCCTGTAAGTACGCTTTCATAAGTACGCGAGTTTTGGGCAGTGTAGAATAGCGCTTGTTGTTTGTCGTTTCTCCGATCACAAATGCAGACATGGTTTTATGTTTACGCGGCGCGATGCAACGCAACGCGTAAAACGACAGTATAAGTCATTATAATCAGTACTTACTTATGTCCCCACTGGATGCAACAAATGTCTCGTTTATAATTGGTTTTAATGTTTTTGTCTCGTCGCTCCGGCCGGACAC